AAGAGTGGTGGACAGATTTGCAAACTTCAAACTCCTTCTTGCCAAAGTCCTAGAATCTGTCATTCTTAGTCCCCACCTCTATTATCACATTTTTGCATTTAAAACCAGGGAGTGGGGGGCACTTTTCTCTTACGATATTTCAAGAGTCTCAGAGATTTAACTTCTCCAGATCTGCAAAGTCAATCTAAACCTTGTTAATTCCAGGCAGTAACAAAAACCAGGGGCAGGGAGATTATTAAATTTAGATGCAGACAGGGAAGAGTAAGAAGGAGAGAGAAAACAATACTTTATAAGTACCTTGCCTGCCCTCCAGTAATGCTCCCCATGTGACCATTCACATCCACAGGTCCAGCAACAGATACATTTAATTTCTTTTTTTTACAGGATGCTTTTAAACCTTCCCTTCTTTAGGCTACATAATCCTAGTTTCATCCATCATACTTCAAATAAAATGACTCAGCGTGCTTTTACCATCCTCATCATTGTGCTCAGGTTTCTCAAGTATGTTTCAGAACACAGAACGAATTAGGACAACAACAAAAAAATCTGTCAGGGTATGTCAAAAGACAGAGAAAAGTATTCAATGCTCAGATTTCTTTTCTTTCTTTGGAGGAGGGAGAATTTGGGTAAGGTCCACTTTAAGTCCTTTTGAAACATGACTCCAGGGTGAGGCTGTTTAAAATCTTGGTTCTACTAAGCAATTTACTAACACTCCCTCTTTAGGCATGTTGAAAAGGCCTTCCGATGACTGCCAAATGGAAGGTCTGACTGGTATTAACTCTTAAGACCCTCTGCAGTGTGACGCTGAAAAGTCTAAAAAATGAATTATTTTATTCATCCATATGATCAACTTTGCTATTCTTCTTTCACTATTCTGAATTGTGGGTCATTATTTGGTGATCTATATTGGTGGTACACACCATCTTAGGGATGGGAGTTCTCACCTTCCCCCAGTGGAGCACAGCTGGAACCAATTCATTTGGGAATCTGATGGCCAGCTAAATCCACCATGCTTCATTTTTTTTTTTTAAGATTTTATTTATTTAGAGAGAGAGTGCGAGCGGGGGTGGTGGGGGGAGGGTCAGAAGAAAAGGGAGAGAGAATCTCAAGCAGACTCTGCACTGAGCGCAGAGCCCAATTCAGGGCTCGATCTCACGACCTGGAGACCATGGCCTGAGCCAAAATCAAGAATTAGATGCTTACCCAACTGAGCCACCCAGGCACCCCAATCCACCATGCCTCTTATCTTAGTTTATCTTTGGTCACCACTCAAAATTTAGCACTCCACACTCCAGGCCTTTCCACTCTCCTTTACTATCATATACTTCACCTTCCCAAACCCAACCATATACTGCTACTCTTTTCCCTCCCAAGCTTTCCTCCTGGATCCTCAGAAACGACCTAACTAAACCTGGCTCTACCCAGAAGACACCATCTCTTTAAAACACTCTCAGGGGGCGCCTGGGTGGCTCAGTCAGTTAAGCCTCTGCCTTCAGCTCGGGTCATGATCTCAGGGTCCTGGGATCGAGTCATGCGTCAGGCTCTCTGCTCAGCAGGGATCCTGCTTCTCCCTCGCCCTCTCTCTCTGCCTGCCTTTCCCCCTGCTTGTGCTCGCTCTCTCTCTCCCTCTCTGTCAAATAAACAAATAAATAAAATAAACAAAACATTCTCAGATTCTTTGGTGGGGCTGACATGCCCCAAACCTCCATACTCTCCAGTTCCAAAGCATCACTCCTCCACCCTCAGTGCAGAGCCCTGACTCTTTTGAGGCCTATGCCACCCCCTACAGTAACCGCCTGTTTGTGACCAGACTGAACTTTCTTAAGAAAAGAAAACCTAACTTCAGTCAATTTTGTAGCTGGCCCCAAGCAGACCCTCAAATATTTTTTGATGAGTAACTGGAAAATAGCTGGGAAAACTCAACAAATATTTAGTAAATAAATTATATCCATATTCACTCTAGAAAAGCAAACAGGGTCTAATAATCCGAAGGTCTTTGAGATTCCCACCATATATCTGAAGAAAACGCTTCCCGCCGCACCTTTTCATTTTCTAGAAGTCTCAGAATGATGGGCCTCTACTGATCTGACTTTTGGTCATGGGGTTTGGAGAGAAGGTTCTCTCCTAATTACTGCAAGTCTGGGTTAACCTCCTGGTCACGGCTCCTGGTTTTAATCCTCCTCACGGTATTACCTGCTCCTGTTGTACTCGTGCTCATGAACTCTCCTCTGCATTGGATATGTGCACCAAAAACCCTCTTATCTGTATCATACATCACATAATATTAACCATATTTTGTACTTCTCTCAGCATCATGCAAGGAGCTGGGATGAATAAAAATCAGTACTTCCTTAGCACAGGTTTGTTGCCACTAACATGAACTACACATCTTCACCGTGCGAAGTAGTTCTAGCTGTACTACACGTCAGGAGTGCTACAACGGTTTTCAGTGACGAAAGCTCACATTTTATTTCTCTAGCAAAATGTTTTTCTGCCTAATACTGCTTAGTCTTCTTAGGGATTGCAATGTATATATTTCTTAGTAGAATAAGTTTATTTTTTTACATAGATAAAAGCGCCCGAGTGACTCATTTCTAAATGTTTTATTAAAGTCTATTTGTCTTGCAACACTTCTTTGGGCAACACAGTCAATCTCTAAATCCTTTGTCCTCGGCACACTATTCCTGGTATGCCCTTTCTAGTTAATAAGAAGTATGATTATTTATTACTAAGTTCTGATTAACTTGTAAAATCTTTCATCTCAGTTTAATTTACCTTGATAAAATTTTAGACAAGGAAATGAGGATTTTTCAATATCAGAACACATTTTACATGTTTTCCTCCTCCTGAGAAGAGGAAAAATGAATTCATAGGAATGAGGGTTTTTAAAGAGTGGGCATTTTATTTGCTGTTACTTCTAACACCTTAGAAACACGGTAAGGGAAAGGACAAAGTCTGGTGGTTAATTTTCTCATTCTACTGGATGATTTCCTTGCCACTGACACACTGAATGCCAAGTACTCGATGAGCTACCCCATTTAATCCAGTATCTCGTGAAAAATGTATGATTGTTCCCATCCAAGTGATAGAAAAACAGGCTGAACTTGTCCAAAGTTACACAGTGATGTGGTAGTTTCAATCCTATTCTACCAAAATCTCTGTCAGGCAATGAACTCTACACACACGCTCAATCCTGGTACCTACGGATTGCTGTGGCATGAATATAAGTTTCTATTTTCATGTCCTGCAGTTCAGTCATCAGTATGGTCTATGACCTGTACCTGGAAGAGAAGCAGGATCAACTCCTCCTGAAAGTGACTCCACTTAATTAACTTGCTCCCCTACCATAGCTAATACTAACTTTTAAGGAGAAACCCCACCCTGCTGGTCAATATTACAGTCTGAACGAAAACTCATCTCACTGAGGCTGTGTGATAGCTGGCTGACAGACTAAGGTCTTAATATGAACCAGTAAAATCTCAGGAGAAAGAAATGTAAATTCACGGTGGTGTAACTCTGGTAAAGAGTTTTCTTTGTGAGAGGGGCACCTGGCTGGCTTAGCTGGTCAAGCATGAGACTCTTGATCTAGGAGTCGTGAGTTTTCAAGCCCCACGTTGGGTGTAGAGATTATTTAAAAAAAAAAAAAAAGTGTTTTTACTAAAATAAAAGCTTACCTTAAAGAATGTTTAAAACACTAAATATGCAGAATGTTTTAAGAAATATAAACCTGCCCATGTATCATAAATGATGATAGTTTTGAAGGCTTGTGGTTCTCTTCAGTAATGTGTTCTTCTTAACAGAGATTTTAATATTCCACTAGGTGGATATGCTATGATATAAATAGTCCCTTTTTGATGGACACATAGGTTCCTTTCCATATTTGCTGCTATAAACAAAGCAGCAGTGAAAACCTTTGTTCACCCAGTTGACACTTGTCTGAGTATCTCCACAGGATAAATTCCTGGCAGATGGAACTGCATTCGCTGTAGTGTTTGTCTACCAGCTGATGACGCTAGAGAGCCAGGATAGAAAGAAATCAGTGTGGGGAGAGTGTTTAGTCATGGCTCTTCCTGTTAAGAATTGGCAGCAGATGAGTCAATTATTTCCCAAAACAATCTGTTTTGGTTTCACAAGGACCTATCCACTAGGACAGAACAGAGAATAATCCTTGTAACCATATCCCTAGGTCACCCTGTATCTGACTAGGTGCTGCTCCCTAGAAGCAGAGAGCAAAGTGGCTGATCCCACCCAACCTCTTTGCATAGGGTCTCAGTGAAGGGCAGTGGCTCAGATATCCCCAGTTTCCAGACTCATTCAATTCTGTAAAAGGAAAACCAGCCCATCAGAGATAGCCTGTTTCCAAGAGACGGAAGCAGGTCCCCCTTCTCTCCTCCCTGAGCCACACTGGTCGGGGTCTCTGGGTTCCTTGGAATATGGAGCCACCTGGAACACAGAAGTATCAACCAAGGAAAAGATTCTGGCAGGATGGGTCACGCAGGCCAAATGTTTTTATCAATTCTCCTCCCCTTCAAGAAATCAAATGCCAAATAGTTGGTGTTCACATCCTTCCAATTAGTTCACTATTTTGTCTAGAAGGAAACTTCCCCAGGGTCATTATGAGTATGAATTTTCTAAATGAGAATGCTTTTAAATTAACCAAACATCCAAAATGATAAATACATAAACTATAAAGAGTTGACCACATCTCGGAAAGCTGTTCCAGGGGAAGAAAGATTTCCCTTCCACACAGCTAATTTGGAGTAATATTTTGACTTACAGTTTTCATTACACTTATTCCTATATGGAGCTGAGCTGATCATAAGTACAAGTTAGGTCATTCAGAACAGAACTGTCATTGACCGTGTGGAGAACGGGGAAAAGCAGCAGCAGGGCAATGACAGAGGCTGAGAGACACGCCCTAAGTGCCAGCAACTGTTCGTGGTGAAGGAGCAGCAGGGAGCGCCCACCAGGCGCAGTCGCTTAGATATGTGGTCACTTACCTGCTTCTCTTTCTTTTGTATTTTCATTATCATCTATTGAAGGAAGATACTTATACCTGTAAAACATAAAAAAAGGGGGGGGGGCAAAGATTATGGTAAAATCCAAAATAAAACATTGAAGGTCACCTCAGGATTAACTGTGACACATGAGGAAAACACAGAATAGAGGTTGCTTCTACAGAACATTTATAATCATGTAACAACAGTCAACAGCCAGCCCCCAGAGTATGGTCTTTTTTTTTTTTTTTAAGATTTTATTTATTTATTTGACAGAGAGAGAGAGAGAGAGAACACAAGTAGGGGAAGTGGCAGGCAGATGGAGAAGCAGGCTCCCCGCTGAGCAAGGAGCCTGATGCGGGACTCGATCCCAGGACCCTGAGATCATGACCTGAGCCAAAGGCAGATGCTTAACCAACTAAGCCACCCAGGCATCCTTCCCAGAGTATGGTCTTAACCCTACCTAACCCTAATTTATTGACTCCACAGATGGGTGGAGTCAAAAAGACACTATCTTTGTAGATAAAATAAGTTATAAAAGATGCTGGCGTATTAAATTACAAAGTAAACTAAAAGAGGAACCTAAAATAATGATGTGCCTATACTAAGAGGAGTGGAAGAGAGGGGGTAAAAATAAGTCTTCATTTCTTCTGGAAGGAAGTCAATAAATCATGTCACAACTGATAAATCAAGAAATAGAAATATATAAAAAAAAAAAAAAAAAAGAGAGAGCTCAGAAAGTTAAAAGTAGTTCTCTTGAAGGCCAGAGAGGGAAGCTGGTGTGAGATAGGACAGGTCAGTCCTGCATTTCATCACATGCCCCCTTATATTATTTGATGTTTTAAACCATGTGCATATGTTATTTGACAAAGTAAGTTCTATTCCAATATTTGGAATGACTGATTTTACTGTACCCAGATTTAAGCCCCCATCTCCACACCAACCATAACGCCCATGATGACACTGAACTTTTTCTCGTAAATGACTTTTGAGCACCACAGCAATAAAAGCCTGGCTCTAGAGGTCCAGAAGTGGTTTGGGGCATCCCAGGAACCAGGAAGAACCCTAGTCTAAGAAATCTGGAATGTGGGGCTGCCTGAATCACTAACTAGTAGTACCTCAGGTCTAAAGCTCTCACCACGGGGCGCCTGGGTGGCTCAGCCGGTTAAGCGTCTGCCTTCGGCTCAGGTCATGATCCTGGGGTCCTGGGATTGAGCCCCACATCCGGCTCCCTGCTCAGCGGAGAGCCTGCTTCTCCCTCT